CCTCTTGTCGTTCTCCGCACGCCTGAGAGTTGTGCTCTTGGAAACTTTGACGAAGGGTGGAAGTACAGAGTCAAGAAGGAGGCCCAGAAGAGGAGAGAATAAGAAGATCCAACTTCTCTTTCTCAGATGTTGCCTGGGGCAGGTAGCGAAGGGCTGGGGTCGGCTTTGGGTGGCATGGGGAAGGAGTGGGAGGGCACAATGTCCCCGTCGCCAGCAAGGGAGCTGGCGGTGCTGCGCAGCTTGTGCAACACCCGATTTTCGCCAGTTGTTCCCCAGGACCCTCAATTTTGCTTTTTGCAGACCTCCACCTCACTTTGTTGCTCTGCATTTCTGAAGCGATGTTCTGACGGGCGTGTATGGCTGTTCACGGAGACCCGGTCTGTATAACGCAGCTGAAGAGGTAATAAAGACATACTTGTGTTTATTATCATATTTGTTCACAGCTGAAATACAAATTACCTGTGCTTTGTTTGAATGCCTTCCTCATCTGTGTTCTCTGCTGTTGAACCACAGCCCTTCCTCGCCAGGATTACTAAGGACATCTAGTGACCAACCAGCGGCATTGAGGAGCCTTCCTGCCCCTTGTACTCCTCTGAAATCCTTCCTGCTCCCTCCAGTTTGAAGAAAGATTTAGAAATTCTCATCTAGCATCATCCAGAACAAAGCCAAGAGGTTAACAACGTGCAACACCAATGTAAGGCACCCAGAGACCCGCAGGGTCACAAACGGCCGCGTCTTTAGAAGGTGGAACATGCTGCTGCTGAGAGTGTGGAGGGGAAGTAAAAAACCACATAAAACCGTACGTAACGGAGCGTTTTGGAGTGCTTTTCAGTTGATGGATGAAGAAGAAAAACCGTTCCTTGCCAGGAATCCTTAAAAAGGCATTAGGGCACTGTGCTAAAATAAGCTGTGCCTGATGTTTTTAATTGCTGCCTGCTTTTTCTTGGCTGTTTAGAACAGAAATACTCCGAGATGCAGGAGGACAAACTCTGTGGGAGCTGCCACAAGCCCTGGGGGAGGCCGGTGTCCGACATTCCTCGGGCGCAGGGACCGGGGAGGGACGAGGCTCAGACCAGGAGCTCCCTCTCCGAGCACAGGCAAAACCTCAAAGATCACAAATCTTTAAAATCCCCCCCACGTGCACTTACGTGAAACTCGTTGGCCCCTTAAGGTGACTTAATACGTGATGTGACCCTTGCAGGTTTCTGCTGACTTTTCATTTATGATCTTGAACTTGTTCAGCTTAAACGTGAGCAACGCAGCAGCCATGCGTTGTGCACAGCGCGGCTCCCGGGCGGGCGAGGAGCCTCCGCCATGGCCCAGCCAGTCCCCAAACGTTGGTAGGAAATCCTGTAAGGGCTGCAGCTTTGCTCCATCTCCTGGGCTTTGAGGATTAATGCAGCAGAGCCGCTTC